CATAGCCTGGTAGCTAATGCTAGTTTAGCTGTCTGTCAGGCTGATGTCTTGGTAATGAGCACCACCTGCAAGAATGTATGAGTGGGCTTTCTGTCCTGGCTGGGCTTAAACTCATTATTTAAGTGCATGCCTGTGCTCTACTTAGTTGAAGCATCTGGAGGTGACATTCTATAATGGTAAAGGATAACTTGTATATTTATTTAAAAATGTGCATACCGAAGATAGCCTTAGGGCTGGGTGATATGGCCAAAAATGTTATCACGATAAAAACATCATCATGCTGAATCACGACCGCCGCTACTACAATTTCCCACGATCATTAAACTATGCGCTACAAATGTTTTCAGTCGCACACTGTGCTCGCTTCCTCTCCTCGTTCGTGACAGATGGTGTTATAAGAGCAGCGTAACTCTGAATCAGGAGGTGCGTAGCGAGTGTTTGATTGTCCGAGCGGCAGAAAGTGACGGTGAACGCGAGCAGAGGAAAATATTCTGGCAGTAAATGTACGGTGTCTGTTACAGTGTGTCAGCTTCTCAAGACCAAGAAAAAGTCTGTTGTTTCCCACCTGCTGGAAAAGTGAAGCTGGTGCCGAAAAGTGATGGTCCGCCGAAAGTTGATCCTTATCTGCATTATTTTACCTGCTGTGTTCCAACCAATCCAGTAATTTTTACCTGGTAAAATACCTTTAGATGGCGAATACAACCCATAAAATGCAGTATTCTACTTACCAGAAAGTGATTGAAGCCTGTACATATTGACTGAAAGGTTATTTCTGCCCTGAAATTAGTTGATTTTATATATATATATATATATATATCTCCAGATAAAAGCAGCTGTAGTCGTAAAGAGACTGGGCGATACAGCTTTAACACACCTACGCGCTCCCGCGGACAGCAATCAATTTTTAGCGGACCGTCACTTTTCGCACGACAAAGATAAGTTAGCCAACATCTCCCCTCCCCTTCAGACTGAACTGAGCAGGAAAGCTTCTACAGCAGCTACATAGCTGCTATGTAACTTAACATAAGCTCAATTTATAGAAAGTAGCTAGAAAATGTATTTTATTTCTGCCTACGTGTCCAATGTTGAGAACATCACTGAGAGTAAACTGACGTAGCCTGCAGCTCTGTCCTGTACAGACTGATTAAATTATTTTTCAGATTTCAGTCTGAAAAAGTGGTTTTGGAAAAGAAAGGACGGAGGTGACTGGAGGAGCTGAGGTTAGTAAAGCTAATTAGTGATGCAAACTAGTCCTTTTACGCTAATGAGGAGACGTTTCTTTTTGGATTTTAATGTGCAAATAAAATGCACCTCAGAAGGGAGGAGGTTTCTCATGTTGCCTATTTTTTATATTAATGTCTACAGATAAATGTCAGAAGCTGTAAAATGAAGACACAAAAGGCAAACATGAACAGTCCTATCTCTAATGATTCTGAGGTCATATTAACAGGGTTTTCCTGCCGTTACGGCTCAGGGCTGATGCCCAAAACATGCTGTGCCATCACTGTAAAATCACTGTGGAGCAACAACCAACCAAATTACTTTCTCTAGATCTAAAGGTTGTAGTTCCTCCAGTAGACTGATCTTTGGGTGTTGTTTATTTATTATCTGCTCTAGCTTTTCCAACTATTTGTTCAGAGATATGGTGAAAATAATGGCCCAGTATGATGTGAAATTACATATTTTTCATTGGAAAACAAAAATATTTCTTGGGGGAGCACCCCCAAACCCCCCGACCAACACCAAAACATTCATCTGAAGCTCACATTAAACTGGGAAAACACTGCAGTTTTAAACTATTCTGAGGTGCATCGCATGCTCATGGACACAAGAACAATGTTGCTGAGACATGTTGTGTTGGGGTTTTATATTCAGACAAAAGAATTTCTTCACCTCTGCTGCTACAACTCCATCCTAGAGGAAACACTGCATTCGATAATTATCACAAATGTCAAATCATTATTTCTTTCAAGTTTTAAAGGCAGATTTTTGCTTCTGAGTGAAAATTGAATAAACCAGATGTTTAATTATGCGGTGAAACTTTTCTTTTGGTCAGAATGTGACAAACACTTGATGCCGAGCAGTGGATCTCTTTACAAATCTGACGTAGAACATTCAAAACGATTATAATAAAATCTTTTTCAACAAATTTGATAAGTAAATCTTTTTTCCCTTTTCCTCAACATAATAAATATTTTAATAGAAAAATTAAGTGCTAATTTGTAAGTGATTCAAATTAATTAAACCAAATATTAATTGACGATATATTGAACATTAATTATATTGTTATTGAGGCAAATTATTTTGCTATAATTATCATTATTTTTCTATTGCCCAGCCCTAGATAGCCTTAGTGCATAATCATTTTTTAAAAATCAGGAACTACCAGATTTTATTGTGTGCCCAGTCCCTCTTATCCTTCTAATAGTTCTCATTTCCCATTCATGCAATTCATACCCTCATGCCTGTGTCTACATCTGTTTGACTGCATTGTTCTCTCTCCCTCCTCTTCTCTGTGTCTGTATTTGTCCCGTGTTTAACTCCACAGTTTGACCTCCAAGTGCTGTGTAAGATGTCCCACTGGCTGCTTAAGTATTCTGCAAACACCAGCATGTGTTATTGCTCCCTCTTACTTTGTGAGACAGCAGGAATTTTCCATAGATCTGGTCCCTCTATAAAACTGCTCAGCCCTGACAGATTGTGCTGATGAATCAGTCTCAGTCTGCCCCTGTGTTCAAGTTATTTTCTCTGTGGTGCTGCTTTGCCTGACTTGCTGTCTGCAAGTTGAACAACACCGTCTTTGTGCATTTATCCCACAACTGTCCTTCACACGTAAAATATACATTGAAAAACTGGAAAGTGAACATCTTAAAAAGGCAGCAACTGACAGTCTTGAATCATATACTTTTTTGTTTCTGGACTTTTCTGAAAACTTGGATCCAAATGTAGGTAGCCATGCAGGCAGGTTGTAAAGTAGTAGGACCTCTTTGAGTTTTGCCAGCCTTGCTCTATTTTGGGCCTGTGAGGTGCACTTTATCAGTGCTGCTGAAGTTAAAATCTCTGGATTTGTGGTGAGATTTCTGCCTGATCACAAGTGTTTTCAGTTAGTTTTGGTTTCCACCTCCCTGTCTCATCTCAACATACCCAAAGTCTCAAACAGGCTTATGTGTCTGTCAGATGGTCGGAAGAGGATACTACCACAACAGCAGAGCAATAACGCAGACTAATCCCCTGCATAGTATAGGAAATTCCCACTTGTCCTCTTGTGACTTAGTTTTCCTTATTGTGATTTGCCGTAACTTAACACTGCTGTAGTCAAACCTGTCTTGAGTGAATTTAAAAAGACAAGTCGCTTTTTGTAAGATAGATGTCAATAGATCTGAAAATGTAGTACTTTATACTTTTGATTACTAGTATTTTTAAAACAAAGTACTATTTTACTTTTACTTGAGTAGGTTTATACAGGATGACTTTTACATGAGTAACATTTTTACGTGTATCTGTACTTTTACTTAGTCTGAAAATTGAGTTCTTCTCCCACCACTGGATTTAATTTTTTTTTAAATACTAGTGCAGCTGAAGTTTGGCAGGTACTCACGTATAGCTTCTTTTAATGTAAGTTCTGTGAGTAAAATGGTTCCATTTTTTCTTGGTGCTACTTGTGAATTGTCTTTGTTGGATTGAGGTTTTCTTCAGCACCTGGTCCCCAAATGCCATGTTTTCATCCGTGTGACTGTCAAAACCAGAATGCAGCTCATACAGTCCATGTCTAGTTTACTTAAATTAAGGTTTGTAGTTCATGTTGTGAGTTATTTGATTTCTTTAAATCAGCTTTTTATGTTTAGTTTGGACATAAATGTGACACATTTGTGAGGCCACGTATTTTTGTGAGTATTTTGCTCTCTCTAGATGTTTTTCTAAAATGGAAATTCGGCTTGAATAATACAAATTGTTAATTGATTCAGTATTTGCATGCAAATAAATGGTAAAAGGGGAAGAAAACGTTTATCTCTCTGTATCAAAATGGTGGTAAGATTATGTTACGGTGTTCTTTTCGAGTAATGTGAGGAAAATTAACTATCCAGGAATGAAAGAAAATCTGTTTACTGCGCTACAAAGGATTTACAGATGATTAGTGTTGAAGTCTGGACTCCTGTTCTCTTGTAGGCCAACATGACTTAGGAATTAAAATCTCTTAGTCACTCACTAGTAAGATGTGTTTATTTCGTCAACTTTTTTGCTGTTAGCTTTAATTGTTATGACGAGTTGTCTGTCTTCTAAGCAGTTTTACACTGTCCACAGTTACATTTTCAGCTTTCAGTATCGTGCAGTTGGTTTAGCGGCAGGATAGACTTAGCTTTCTTTTATCTCTTTGATTGGCATGCTGAGAAAAGAACAAGGGCTAGAGCACATTTTTCAGGGCCTTCATCTGTCAGACGAGAGCAAGAACTTGTGTAATCTCAAAATGAACACATGTCCATTTTTCTAAATCAGTCTGTATAAATTAGACGCCAGTCATGATAATAGAAATCCAGCTCTCACTTTGGTATCTCACTCTGCTCAGTCGGTGTAGTTTGACCTCCAAGCTTTTCTTGTAGATGTCTCAGTGGTATTCTGCAACATTTTATATAACTGCACCACAGTTTGAGGGGGTTGCATATATTAGTCTGCCAGTCTCCTCCATAAATCTGTTCAGCTCTGACACTTTGTGGCCATCATTTAGCAATCGTCTGTCTCCTGACATCTCACTCTGCCTTATTTGCCTTCATCCTACATTTGTTTTGGTTGTTGGCAGTTGTTGCTGGCTTGTACCTGTCAGCTGTTCGAGAAGAATATTAAGCAGGGAAAGTTGATGGACTGCAGAATATTCCCAGTGAACATGATGAAGTGGAATCTAGAAAGTTAACCTCCTCTTTCTCTCTCTCTCTCTCTCTCTCTCTCTCTCTCTCTCTCTCTCTCTCTCTCTCTCTCTCTCTCTCTCTCTCACACTCCCCCCCCAGGTATTCAAGCTGAAGGCGGTCCAGCTAGCCGAGAAGCTACTTCCTGCCTTTAACACCCCCACAGGAATCCCTTGGGCCATGGTCAACCTTAAGAGGTCAGTGACACTGCCACTGAAAACCATCCCCTACATCCAGTATCCAACCTGACATGAATATAAACTGAGACGTGCCACTCAAAATCACTGACAGTTGACCGAGCAGCCTGGAACAAACTGTGGTGTGACTTGATTGACAGATTGGTCCTTGCACAGATGGTGTCAGTTCTAGCTTGTTTCCCTTTACTCTTTCTTCTTACTCTGTTCAATAGACTGTCTCACTAAATATGATCAAAATTTAAATCTGCAATAATTTACTTTCTCGGCCGGTGGAAACTAGCTGTGAACACAACACTGACATTATATCACCTTGTATTGATACTGCAAACTTTTTTACGCAAATCCAAAATTCCTGGTGTTGGTCTCCACCCCCTGAGGAATTATCTTGCTTTTTAGCTGCTAAATGCTTTACTATGTTCTCCAGCTAGTCGCTAACTTAAAACAAGCTAATTCACTTCATAGAGCTGAGAGGAACTGCTGAGTCGATTGATATTTCTTGATGTGTTCGTGAGTTCGGGTGAGCCCTTTTCACAAGTAATCATGTGATCCATTGTGATTATTGCTGCTTTATTGTCTGCAAATATATTAAAATTAGGGCCGGGCGATATTGCCCTAAATGTTATCACAATAATAACGTGTCATATCATTCAATATCTATAATTATCACGATAAATATCAAATCATTAATTCTTTCAAGTTTAAAGGAAGAGTGAAAATTCAAGAAAACTGTGGTTTTAAAAACATTTCTTTATGGTCAGAACAAACACTTGATGCCAAACAGTGGATCACTTAACTCAAATCTGAGGTAGAACAATCAAAACAGGATAAAATCTTTTTTCAACAAATACGATTAGTAAATCTTTTTTCAGTCACGTCTCCTCAACAAGTACTAATTTGTTCGTTGTTCAAATAAATTAAACCAAACATTTATTGACGATATATTGAACATTTGTTATATTGTTATTGAGGAAAATTATACTGTGATAATTATAATTTTTGCCTAGCCCTAATTGAAATGTCTTAAATACGTTTTCACCTCCCAGTTTTTATTGTGCCCTCCTTGTTTTTTTTACATCGTGCAAAACACATTTGTACTATGTATCTGCCTCACAAATGGTCAGTTCTCAAAATACCTTCTTTGTATATGCTGCCTGTTATACTCCAAACAGCAATTGTCTTTTGGTTTTAAATTTGTTGTTCGTGATTTTGATACAACCCTTGCTCTTTTTCCATCATGATTTATTCTGAATGAAACCTTGTTAAAGGTGTCCTGGAGATTTGTTTGTGCACAAACGTTATGTTTACATTCAGTGTTACTCACCAAAACGCATTGTTTGTATCCTTTAAAAACAGTACTTAATGCATGTTCTGCTATGCTGATTTTACATTTTTAAATCCCAAATTGTTTACATTATGTTCTTGCAGTCCCCTTTGCTAATTAAATGGGGACCTACTCTTAATATAACAGCTCCATAGCGTTACTTGAGATTGAAAACTGCTGCATGTAGAACTTCACAAACTACTTGCATCAGATAGCTTATCTATGTACATTTTATCTATCCCATCCATCCATCCATCCATCCATCGTCAACCGCTTATCCTGTGTACAGGGTCGCGGGGGGCCTGGAGCCAATCCCAGCTTACATCGGGCGAAAGGCGGGGTACACCCTGGACAGGTCGCCTGTCCATTGCAGTTATCTATCCCTATCTATACAAATAACCATAAATAAATAAACTTTGAGTTTAAAGCTTTAAACTCAACTCCTGAAAAAGACGGCAATTAGATATAACACAAACTGTAAGGGCAGGAGAACAGTATTTTTATTATTACATATTTTGGTGACCTTGTGTTATTATGAATGTTGCTGCACTCCACACCTACCTGACAATGAGTTTCATCTGTTTGAATAATATAATTAAATAATGTATATATGTGTTTGTATGTGTGTGTGTGAGCCGGGGCTGTGTGTCTACAGGGTAGTTTTTGGAACCAGTTTTGTGAACAGGTGGCAAAAAGAGTCTAAAAGATTCAGCTCTCAGAATCCTGCAGTCACAGTGTTTACCTACAGTTGGTAACAGGGTCTACTTTCCCGTTGTAGCCTCAGCTTAAAGTGTAACATTGCCATAACATTTCCATCTCTTTCTGTTCCTCTTATTGGTTTCTACTGACTTTTTGTCATTTCATTGTACCTGTGAAGAGAGTGGGGGAAGTGCATCTGTGTGTGCCTGCATGTGTGTGATCTTTCTATCTCCCTCCATCTCGGACTGCCTTGATTAACACTTACTGCCTCGAGTTGCAATGCTTACTAGGATGCACGTGAGATGATTTACACATGCAATAGGTCTGAGTTTCCTGGACTGCTAAACCAGTGGTGTAAGAGGCTAGAAAAGCTGTGCTGGTTAAAATAAAAATGCTCTATCATATTTTTTATAATTCTCATAATCATTTATCACTTTTTTTTCTTTTAGAGTTCTTTTCAAAAACAAGTTACAAAGTGCTTTGACGAGTGCAAATAGAATAAAACACTTAAAACACAATATCCATTCATCCATCTCCATCCATCTTCATCCACTTATCCGGGGTCCAGTCGCGGGGGCAGCAGCTCCAGCAGGGGATTCCAAACTTCTCTTTCCCGAGCCACATTAACAAGCTCTGACTGGGGGATCCCGAGGCGTTCCCAGGCCAGTGTGGAGATAATCTCTCCACCTAGTCCTGGGTCTTCCCCGAGGCCTCCTCCTAGCTGGACGTGCCTGGAACACCTCCCTAGGGAGACGTCCAGGAGGCATTGTTACCAGATGCCAAAACCACCTCAACTGGCTCCTTTCAACGCAAAGGAGCAGCGGCTCTACTCTGAGCTCCTTGCAGATGGCCGAGCTTCTCACCCTATCTCTAAGGGAGACACCAGCCACCCACCTGAAGAAACCCATTTCGGCCGCTTGTACCCGCGATCTCGTTCTTTCGGTCATGACCCAGCCTTCATGACCATAGGTGAGGGTAGGAACGAAAATTGACCGGTAGATTGAGAGCTTTGCCTTACGGCTCCGCTCTCTTTTCGTCACAACGGTGCGGTAAAGCAAGTGTAATACCGCCCCCGCTGCTCCGATTCTCCGGCTAATCTCCTGCTCCAATCTCCCCTTACTCGTGAACAAGACCCTTAGGTACTTGAACTCCTTCACTTGGGGTAAGGACTCATTCCCTACCTGTAGTTGGCACTCCACCAGTTTCCTGCTGAGAACCATGGCCACAGATTTAGAGGTGCTAATCCTCATCCCAACAGCTTCGCACTTTGCTGCGAACCGATCCAGTGAGAGCTGAAGGTCACGGACCAATGATGCCATCAGGACCACATCATCTGCAAAGAGCAGTGACGAGATCCCAAGCCCACCGAACCGCAGCCCCTCCTCGCCACGACTATGCCTCGATATCCTGTCCATGAATATCACAAACAGGATTGGTGACAAAGCGCAGCCCTGGTGAAGGCCAACCCTCACCTGGAAACAGTCCGACTTACTGCCGAGTACTCGACCACAGCTCTCACTTTGGATGTAGAGGGATTGGATAGCCCTGAGAAGGGCCCTCCTCACCCCATACTCCCGCAGCAGCTCCCACAGTATCTCCCGGGGGACCCGGTCATACGCCTTCTCCAGATCTACAAAGCACATGTAGACTGGATGGGCATACTCCCAAGCCCACTCCAGGATCCTTGTGAGAGTAAAGAGTTGGTCAGTTCTTCCACGACCGGGACGAAAACTGCATTCTTCCTCTTCGATCTGAGGTTCAACTATCGGCCAAACCCTCCGTTCCAGCACCTTGGGAGTAGAATTTACCGGGGAGGCTGAGAATTGTGATACCCCTGTAATTGGCACACACTTTCTGGTCGCCCTTTTTGAACAGGGGAACCACCACCCCAGTCTGCCACTCCTTGGGCACTGTACCCGACATCCATGCAATATTAAAGACACGTTTCATCCAAGACAGCCCCTCCCAACCCAAAGCTTTTAGCATTTGTGGGTGGATCTCATCAATCCCTGGGGCTTTGCCACTGTGGAGTTGTTTGACTACCTCAGTGACTTCCTCCAGGGAAATTGAGTAACCCCCATCAACCTCCAGCTCTGCCTCTACTAGAGAGGGCTCTCATATAAAAGCATGTTTTAAGAAGGGACATAAAAAAGTACACTGATTCAGCCGACCTGAATTCCTCGTCAAGTAATCGTTAAGATTACTTTACACTTACAGGTCCAGGTCTGGATGTGACGGCGTCTGTTTGGGACGCGGACCGCAGTCCACTTATTAGTGACCTCGGCTTTAGAAGAAAAACATTAAACCTGCAGTGCAGAACTTTTGTCTTCCCCTTCTGGCAGTGAGAGTAATTACACAAACTGAGGGGTTACCTTGTTGCTAAGCATCCTGGCTTGGTGGGTGTGTGTGAGTGAGTGAGAGAGAGAGAGAGAGAGAGAGATCAGCGTCCTTTTATTTGCGCTGACAGGTTGTTAAGGATGCATGTAGCACAAGAGAGGGCCTCCTTTTCGCAAGGTAATTCTAATTCGCTGGAGAGCGAATTAGAATTTGTTTTTTTCTCTCTATCTCCCATTAGACAAACACACCGGAGAAAACGCAGCTACACATGTTCACACATGCGCAAATGCCACCAGGAATAATTGTTCACACAGGAATTCATTACAAAAAGAAAACACACACACATCACAGATCTCTCTCTTCTCCCACTTGATGGTGCCTAACACACATGCCTCCTCCTCGCAGACACACATACAAGTGGCAACCGATTAATTTTGCATGCACTCATGTAAAATTTAAGCCTTTTGAGATGCCCCCTGTGTCACATATGGTCATGTGTAAATGTAATTTTGCCCGCTGTGACTGAGACAAACTCCTCAACCTGTTGTTCAGGCAGCAGTCAATCTAACTCCAACTTTGCCGTGTTTCACCAGATGGAAAAATATATTTTCTGATTTGATGTTGTGATAAAGACGAGGAGCCCAACTTAAAAAAGTGGAGCAGCATCTTACTGGAAAGTGTCTACCATTTGGAGAGAATTGCATTTCTGCATTTTAAGGCCTATTTGGGCCACTATCGATCAACTATGACACATAAATCCTTGCTCAAACTGGATAATTTAGAAGGATGTTTTCTATACATTATTCAAGAAAATTAAGCCACAGAAGTTGTAATCGTCAAGATTACTGCAATTGATCTTTTCTCTTCATTTTTGCATTTGTCACCATTGGAAGCTTATGTTTAGTGTTGCACATCCCTAAATTATTATGACCCTTTGAATTATTATTCAAAATCATTATTCAAACTTAGTCATTACATGTTCTATTGCCTTAGGTTCAAGCACCTGACAAAGTATGTGTTCAATTATTCGTCTACATCAAAAACCATGTCAGCCCAGGCAGATACATTATGGCCGTTTTGTTCTATTGGACAGAGAAAATCTTTATTACTTACTATATTGAATGTATAGAATTATATTATGTACAGAAATATAATCTGTCTTTCTCAACATCACATCGATCTCTCCAACTGTCTCCTCTTTCCTCTTGTCTTAACCACCTCCTCCCCCTCTTCCAGTGGTGTTGGTCGTAACTGGGGTTGGGCGTCGGCGGGCAGCAGCATCCTGGCTGAGTTTGGGACTCTCCACATGGAGTTTGTTCACGTCACCTACCTGACAGGGAACCCTGCATACTACCAGAAGGTAGGTGTTAGTAGAAGTAATTTTGTCTATATCCATGCAGCTTTTATCTTAGTTTTAGGGTCGGAGTACTATATCAGAGGAACATGGTGTCTTTCAGTGTTCCCTAGGGGACACTCAATCTGGATCTATAGAAAGACACCCATGTCCAAGGTACATGTGGTGAACCCCATAAAGTCCTGACCCCTCTGGACATATGTTAAAGCATCACACGCATTTACCTTCCATTGACCCCATACCCAAGAGGCTGGAGGCCCCTAGTGAGATTAGTTACATGGCAGTGTTTTAAAGAAGGTTCTCTTGAAATTTCCATTACAATACTGTAGCTGCATGTGTTCTGCAGCATGTCTGCATGTTTTCTATCCTCTGTATTAACAGAGTCTAGCTTTTTTCGAAAGGTGAATATTTTCTACTTCTCTAATTTCCAGGTGATGCACATCCGGAAGCTACTAGCCAAAATGGACAGACCCAACGGGCTCTACCCAAACTACCTGAATCCTCGCACTGGCCGCTGGGGCCAACGTAAGTTGGCCTTTGTGGACACTTTTTTTAAGGAAAGGGAATTGTGATTTTTTGGATATTTAAAATTAAAAGAATATTTTTTTATTTTAGTTTTAAATGCATTTTTGTTTTCAACATTTCATTTAAATAAGATAATTGTGTCAATGATTTACAAGACAATGGGAGAAGTGTGCACATTTTCTTATGAGCTTCAGTTGGTCATGTACTCTGAAGTGCTATGAAGAGAGAAAGGAGAAATCTACAGTAAGTGAAGGAGAAAGGAGCAGAATGGATCTTCTTTAATGAGAACAAATTGAAGCGAGTAGAGGAAGATGGAAGAGGGGGAACACAGTATTCCCCTTTTATTGATTACATTTTGGCGGTCTGCCCAGGGAAATTAACAGCTCACTGAGTGAAGTTAGACGTGCAGTGACACACTGTACTTGCCCTGAAACCTGTCATTTCTGGTTAAAGTAATTTTCGACAAAAATGTAATCACTGCTGGTTGGTCACAACATGTGGGGGGGCAGTAAAGGAGTCCTTGTTTTTTTCGTATTTATACCGCTGTAAATTTAATATATTTGACTTTTGTACTGTTGGCCGACGAGAACAAGACATCTGAAGACATCACCCTTGGTCTCTGGGAAACTGTGACGGGCTCTTCTTACATTTTTCTGAAAAAAAGTTGATTGATTAATTGAAAGTGTAAGTAGGACAGAAGGAACATATAAACTTTTAAAAATTTACAGGTGGCCATGTGACATGTGAGTATTGTAATACATGTGAACCTATCCTTTAATACAGTGTAACTGAACGTGTCAAAATACATTTTTAGAATACATTAGAAGACAGTAGGATCTTAAAACGCTTCGTATCGGCCCGCTTACATGGCTGATGGCAGACTTTGCTGAGTTTGGCCTAACCTACATTATGGTGTCAGTCCCTTGATTCATCTCCCAAACATTTACTCGAATAAACTACATTTATATATGCCCTCTGAATGTTTGCGTATTCCCCCTAATATTACTCGGGGATATTTCAAGTTATCGTCCAAGCATTCGCAAGGGAATATTAAATATTCCTTTTTGTTTATTTTTCAAAATGTCAGTAGGGAGAGTTTTGATCCTGAGAAGGCGTTTAACAGAGACTAAGATGCTGGATGACAGATATGTAGAGGATCATGGTTTGTTATCTTAGCGTTCCAACAGAATATTAAAACATTGTGGATATTAAAATATTCCTTTTTGTGTGCGCACTTGGCCTAGAAGTAATGTGTTTTTAACTGAGCGCTGTAATTCTTTTGCCCGTCGATCAGATAGGACTATCTGCTCGGGTTTGCTCTTTAATTCAGTGAAAGGAAATGAAAAGATGAAATCTGTTTAAAATTGAATATATTGTGTTGTTTTCATTTGTCCAGGGGAATGAGTTGATACGTAAGAGAGTTCCATGTTAAGTCCATTCATATTCACCACACTCCCAAATAAATGGGATATAGGCGATACACATAGACTATGCACCGTGGAGAAAAGAAAACAGAAGATGGTACCACTCACAGAGATTTTTAATAACTACTGTGGTCTAGCAAGATGAAATCTCAGTTTTGTTTGTTTTACTTGTCGACAAAACAAATGGAGGGCACTCATGGATGGATGGATAAATGGAGGAGCTCATTAATGGATGGATAGCAGGCTTGGCAGTCAGACTGATGTACATGTAAGTGCACAGACTTTGGGCCAAAAGCAGTGGAAAATAAATGGATGGAAGATGGAGGGAGGGCGGATTGATTGATGGATGGATGAGTACATTAACAGATGGATGGTTAGCTGGCGTGCTGCATGACTGGGCAGGTGATGACTGATGTTTTATGTTTGTTTGTTGTGTTTGTGTGTAAGTCACAGAGTGAGTCTTACTTTGTGTGTATGTTTAAGTTACAGCGTTAAGAACAGCGTCTCTGGGCACATTCACCATACCACCTTACATGTTGATTGATCTACTTGCACGCTACTGTGTGTAGTGGTCTTAAGACTGGACACATTAATTAGCTGCCATTCCACGCTGTTGCCTTAACCAGCTCAGCTGATTACAGCAAAGCAGCACTGGTTTAATTAAAGCTTGTAGCTACACCAAAGCCAACCTGACCTGCTGTAGTGACTCCATGAAAAGATACAGTTAGGAGGAGGGAGGGAGCGGAGAAGAATGTAATTAATGTGAAAATCGATAGGGATCAGAGCAAAAATGCCCTTGAATATTGATAAATTATTGCAGAATAACGAATGAGGTAAAGGTGCCTCCAATGATTAGATAGATCTTTTTTTTTTCTTAATTTCATCACATTCCCTGTTTATTCATTGATCTATGAAATAGTCATGTGCAATCATGCGCCTACTGGACCCTTTCTCCACTGTACACTATTTGTGGGTGACTCTAGCTGGATGAGTCTTTGCAGTTTTAGTTTTTTTTTAATCCAAAAGCATCCTGAGGCAGGGGGAGAAAATGTTGGCACTACACTACCGGCTGAAGAAAGTGCAGAGTCCTCACAATCCAAACAGCTGCATCAACCAAAAAATACATAAATAATTAAAAGGAAAAAAAATACAATAGTCGATGTACTTGTCAGTTTCTTTAAGGGGTTGTTCAGACATGCAATATAATTTTACGTCACATTGTATTCACACTGGTAAAGCAACGGTCCAGATCAGTCCACGTTGTAATGTTGTCTTGTTGAAAATGAAACTGTTTTTGTTTTCTTTCTATCTTCAATTTTCACACATAGTATCCTACAACAAAGCAGTCACCTTGATATGTTGAGGATTACTTTGTAGCATTATTGTGGCATTTAATGATTAATTTCCCCTCTTGTGCTCTCTGGATCTTGTTCAAATTGTCACACTGACATTAGAATTACCTTGACTGCTGCTATTTTCCATTTCATACGCGAGTTTAGCCCCCCATCCCTTCCTTTTTTTAACAACCCTATATAACGTTGGTCAATTACCATTAGCGATTTAAAACTTGTGTCCCATTGTGCTGTAAAGTTTGTATTGTGGAAGCTAGTTAACCTAACTTTAGAAGAACACCTGCTGAGTCATTGACAGGTCCCGCACAGTGTGAGTGTTTTATGTTCTTCTGACAATATGAATATGTGCTTCCAGTAGGTCCAGAAGTTGTCATGGAATATGAGCAGAACATCAAAACTCACAGCAACAGCGTTGAAATTACAGATGACTCTAAGCAACGGTTAACAACATCAGCTGACTGTTCAGGCATTGGAATCAAAGTTGTATCCCAACTATTTTTAGGTGCCTGCCCATACAGATATTGGGCCAGAACCAGCCCTCCAGCAATAATATCTGGCCTGCAGCCAGATTGCTTTGATAGTATAAAAATAAAAAATAAATTGATAGCGGCTGGTGATGAAATAGATCTCAGTCATGACAGATACAGTTACTCATATAATCAATTCCTCTTAAGTGATTGTGCCTCCAAAATAAAAGCGCAAGAACTTTTTGTGCAGCAATGCTATAGGAGTAAGTATAAGTTTATTGAGAGCTTTTACTTTGAAGAGTTCTGAACGGCATTCAAAAGAGACCCTGGCTTGCTTGACACACCTCTAAAAAAGCTGTCAGTAAACGTGCGATTGGATTCCCCCTGAAAATAAGCGTCCATGGGTTTATGCGGATCAAACGCTGGGAGGCGCACACACTGCAGCACATGCTTTATTGTGAGCATGTGCAATTTGTTTAACAAGGGAGAAAAAAATACCCGCAGTTAGTTGGAATCGATCTTACAGCCTTCCTAACAGGAGTCCCGCACAGTACCGACTAAGCTAAACTTGCCCACAAGTAAACAAAGATTTGAAATAATTTGACTCTGTTCTGACCCATCATGTAACGGCTTGAAAAAATTTGGCCCGATGCCAGACTTATTTGCCGACCGCTGCCCTAAAGAATACTGAAGTAGGGATGGGTATCATGGAAACTAAATTAAATTTAAATTTCTTCTTTTTGGTAATGACAATTTTTGACCAACTAATAACTCAGTTTACACCAAGGATATACTGCGTATTCTGATCTCTTGAATTTCATGTTGATAGTTAATGTGGAATCCGTGTAGATACACATCAGGAATCAAGGATATCTTTATTGTCCCAGAGGGGCAATTTGTTGTATAGTCAGCAGACAGCACACAACTATCAAACAAGCAATATATAAATAGGCCAAAAAATAAATGTAACATAACATGTTCACAGTTAGGATTAGAGACTTGGTAAGGAAGGGCTTCTGACCTAGAAAGACAAACATCATGATAATCATGTTTTTAATCAACAAAACACACAAACAACAAGATCCTACAGTCGCTGTTAACAGTGATGTTGTGATACCATGATTAGCATTCACAGAATCAGGAATGTCGAAAACGGTATCTTAAAAGTCTCTTTTTAGATAAATACACGATGTGAGAAACATGTTGTGGGAACACGATTGTTATTTGCATATTTCTGAACACCTGTAACTGCTGCAGACTCAACTTGGAACACGCCACATCCACTTAAATTCATTACAGGACCATTTAGGCTGAGCTTTCAGGACTAAAGAGAGGGAGCGTGGCTGTCTCTCGTTAGATTTATGCGCATTTGTTTCTGGGTGCAAAATGAACACAAACCACCAGCCAAAATCTGTCTGCGGCTGCAGTGTTTTCCTCCTTTATCAACTGCTGTGGCAAGTAAACAACCGCCTTTTGGATGTTTTGTTGTCTTCTTAAAATTAAAATAGTCAAATCTAAATTGCCTTTGTTCACCCAGGCAAAGAAAATGCCTTTCACCCCAGTTATGATGTCTGTGTGTGTGTGTGTGTGTGTGTGTTTGTGGGGGTGTATGTGGAGTGTCTGAATTATGAACGTTTTTGTTGTGAGCAGTTTAAGCATTGGGTGAGAAATATGTGAATATGTGCCTGTGTTTGAGACAGTGTGTGATGTGTTTGAAGGATGGAAGCATGTGTCGAGAGTGTGTGTATGACTGTGTA